AAACTGGTGGGGATTCAGAACTGTAGTGAATGTAAGATATTGTGAAACTGGTGAGGATTCAGAACTGTAGTGAATGCAAGATATTTATGACACGAAGATTTGACAAGAAGTAGAACATATATACTTTATATTCTTAACCATGAATATACCGAACTGATGAGTGATGAAGGGTTTGTTAATATGATGAATTTGTATTTTACTGTCCTGTACTTTAAATTATTTTTTATAGGTCGTTCACAGTCACTGAGCTGATGAATTATGAAGGGTTTTACGCCCCAGAAAAAATAACAAGTGATTTATAAGGTCGACGAGATTGAAACGACGTCTTACGGACAAAGAAATAAAGATATTACGTAGAGGACTTGGAGGTATCTGTATAATGAAAGTGGTCGTAATGGAGAACTTGTTTAGAAGTAGCAGAACCCGGATAACGGAGGAGAAGCCTACTTTACAGGGCGCTTGTCACCATTTTCCGCAAGTTAATCCAAACAGAGTATACATACACCCCAAAATGTTTTTTTTATATATAAAAAGGAAAACTCTTGTATTATCTTTCCATTGAAGTCCCCTTTTAATATAACGACGGAGACTGTTGTTAGCTAGCTTGTGAAGAAATAATTCACAGAAGAAAAGTCTATTCAGGTGAAGTGGCTCCACATGAGTATTAATTATATCACATGTTACCATTAGCGCAGTCATCGGTGAATGTCGATAGCACTTAAACCAACGAAAGATCGGAACTGAGAATCATATTGTTGATAACCGTAGAACATTTCCTGAGAAGGTTGAAATTCACATTTCACAACAGAGAAAGTTTTATAGACATTCTTTAAATTCGCCCAAAAGTGATGAATATCAATCAAAAGTGGCCGCCAACAGAAAGATGACACTTTTAACTCATATAATTCTAAGGAAGCATAATTCCAATATCTTCAGTCACATGCTATAGATAATGTCCACAGCTAAAAGTAGTGTTTTCTCATTATGAACGAGAGTTATAGTGTCCGCCTTGCGTTAAAATACCGTATAGCAGCAACTTTAAAATATGTGGATGGAAAAATGCAGGTTCCAGTCGATTACAGCTATATTGTGGCACGAGGGGGCGCCACAATATAAGAAAATCAGCAAATTTCTATTACTAACAAACGACTTGGTCTGTCTCTTTCAAAGTCGACATACTCGACTTACGATGCAACAGCCAAAATATTTTACTCTATTTCATTTGCTTGTTTAGTTTCGCACAAAGCTACTAGGAGGCTATCTGCGCGAGCTGTCCCTAATTTTGAACTTATAGACTAGGGGGAAGACAGCTAGTTAACAGCACCTACCACCAACTGTTGCATCATTCTTTACCAACGAAAAGTGGGATTGACCGTTACAATATTCTATTCCCAAGGCTAGAAGGGCGAGCATCTTTGATGACGGGATTCGATCCCGCGACCCGCATATTTTATGTCGAGTACAATAATCAACAGGCCATGTCAGGTCTTATTTAATTTTACATCCTGTTCACCTTATCGTCAAAAAATTTGTACTTGATATCATTAAGTAGCACGTGTAAACGCTATAATTGGAATTCGCAAACGGAAAGTAACTGTTCCTTTTCTCACCAGGGGTTATGATTTTCAAAGTTTCTATTCTTTTGTCACCTAGGTTATATTATGATTTTCAAATATCTAAATTGTTTATCTCAAAACTGATTCTATGGCTTTATACTTGTTACACAAACATGACACTGAAATGAGTTTATAAACAGTTTGTTTCACAAAATTCCGCTAGAGGCGCCAGAGAAAAGCAATAAATCAAACATTTTTACAATAACAAACTTATTAAAATTATTGTACATAATTCACTAAATATGAAAGTTTAAACTCCAAAACATATTCTTCACGAAAGAGAAGATTTCTTAAAACACGAAATTTCCTTGACCTAAATCAATAGAAGCTGTATGCACGTACAGCTATATAAATCAAAAGTGTTTATCATTAAAAGTGTGATTTTTATTGCCAGAGTCACTCCTGGCAGAAAATTCTAAGAAATACTACTTAGGCCTACTCTAGATTCTTTGCGCTTGCGTATACAAAGCACAGAATAACTATATACTATGAAAGACTGTCTTTCTTTTTCTTTTTTTTTTCGCACAGCTTTAAATGTAATGAATGTTTTTGTTTGTTTATTTTTCTTTTAATAATGAATCGAGTTTCTTGTCGCCAGTATCAATAAAAGACAAAATATCCACAACTTAAAATTGGTTGGGCCTGAACGCAAAGTAAAAGTACACATGTTTAGAGAACTCAGAAAATAAATAATGATTTTGCCCAGAAATTGTTGTTATCGCTAGGTGCACT